TTTCAACTCGAAACTTTTCGTAAACGGATAACACGCGTCACTTCAAACACAACTTTGGTGAACTTGCTTCGGAACAAAATCTAGATAAATAGACCCCTTTAAGAATTTTCAAATAACTCGCACAATCAACCACTGAACGCGCCAATATAAATATAAAACGCACAATTCGAAATACCTGCGTCTTCGTTATCTCTTAACAGCGATTAAACACGTGCGTTAGTTAACTTTCGTCTGATAACAAGACGTCTTATCGCAAACGAGTAGAAGCGTCTTACAACACCTTATATAGATTGAAACAAAAGCGATCAAATTTGAACAAGAATTACGCATATACCGAATTTGTGAAAGGAAAAACAACACTGAGGTACAAATTCAAATGAAACGAACCAACTCTGTACTTATTTCGTAAATAATCCCCTAGATGTACTTAATAAATAGAAACAACTTCCCTTTACATTTTGTTGTAGTTTTGTTGTCGCAACTATAGTAACCACATTGTAATAAATATTTTATAGTAGCGCAAATGCTATCGCAATCGATATTTACTAAATGAATACATAAACAAGTAATAAAGCTAGCGAACTAGTGATTATAGCTGAATCGCATTTCATTAAAACTTGTTTATGGTTTGCTCATATTTTTCGGTAGGTCAGCCCCGCATCGGCCTCATCTATAGTCATAACGAATGTGGATGAACAGTAAATAGCACATAGTGGTAACATACCAATTGACAAAGATACTCATTTTTCGGGTTAATTTACTTATTTTATCTCCCCTTGCAATTAGAGTGGCAGAAACGCATACTTTTAAAAATTACTACGATACCGTGAAATGCAAGTGTGAAATCTTTGCATTCAACAAATGATGCAGAGCTTAATAGCGTAATTAATATTATATAATGAACAGGAAATTAAATGATGCTTGTACCACCCATGTAATAAATGGTTTCCATTTCTTTGGCGCTGACAGAAACAAACATTGTCAAGTTCATGTAATGTGTTTCGCTATTTATACATTTATACTTATCATTCTAGACAGTTGTATAAAGTATGGTTGTGCATACTTGGAGTAAGTTGTATCTATTTGTGATCGGTTTTTTTCGCCTGTCACTTGCAGTTAAGAATGTCGTTATGATGAAGTCGAGATCAATACCTTCGTGGGGAAGGCGAATACCAAATATAAAGGCGACAGTCCAGGAATCCGGAAAATGTGGATTAATTGAGATCGATTACTTTTGGGGGTAACTGGGGTCACTCTGTACGTTGTTGAGTAACGAAGTACGTTCCAATTCCGGTGCGGTCAGTATTCAAATATTGAAAATCCGTTAGTTAAATTAATCATTAGAGAGTACGTGACTTATGAGTATAATTAGTTTGCAAGTTTAATTAATCACCGTATGCGGGCGCACACAGAAGTAATTTCACATCGATCTACTTAATTTTTAATTTATAATATAAACAAATTAAATTTTCTAAGTTAATTAAGCTTAAGTTGCGAATGGGCGGTTGATTGATCGTTACTTGAGATAGGTAGGTGTCGTAACGACTTGTGAAAAATCGGTTAGCTAAAGTGAAGTGCATATTCTCTAAATCGGTTGAAATTAACATTTTACATCCGTCAAAGAGTCCTCACGTCGGAAATAGACCATTTAAAATGGCATGACAACGACCTCTTTTGCACTTGTCCTGACTAAAAGAAACTAAGAGACCCCTGTAGTCTATAGGCAGTCTAAATTACGAAAACAAATGCAAATTTGTTTAAGACTGCGAAAGGAACTTTTTGAAAAATGTATATGTGTAATTGAATGATAACTTTGCGTGTAGATAAAATAAAGAAAAGTTGTGCTCGACATTCATTACATGATCCTAAAATGACTGAGTTTGCTAATAGCGTTCTTTCAGAAGTAAGTACGGAAAGTATCCGTTTGGTCTGCTAGCTTTAATAGTGGCATGTGTGATAATAGGATACCGATGTTTGTGGATCCGACCGTTCATTAGTTACTTCACTTTCCATTGTCTTATCCACACTTGATCCTGAAATGTCACCAAATAATGTATAAAATCAAATTTGGTTATTGTAATTTTTGGTGATGTTCTGTAAAGTATTTATAACCAAAAAATTAAGGAGCAAATAAATCAACTCCTCGTAGAATCTGCACATTACTTTAAGTAAACACCACTATAAAAGACCCGGAAAGCCAAAAACACTGCAGAAAAACCGCCGGTTGAATTTACGAAAATGTTTTTCTTAGGTAGTTTCTCAGTAAACTTTCGTCCATAAAACTCGCAGCAACTACCCCAAGATTGCCATCTGCGATAGCTCTCACATCTTAAACGCAGCCATCCGCATCATACGAAAACCGTCCACTTTAGAATTGGAAAATTAAATTTTAAATTGTGACCTGCTCGTAACTTCCTTCCGAACACTTTGTAATAAATAAATAACGCGAATGTTGGGAATTTGGGAAGATTACAGCAACGCCTGCAATATTTAATTATCCAAGCAAAAAGCGGGAAAGGTATAGCTTTCGGTTCCCAAAGGAAACATCTATGTGTTCGTCTCATTTCGTTTTGCCACTGAAAATGAGAGACCATATAAAAGAAAGTATAAAATATTTGTATCCTTTCGAGATATAAAAGGGTAGGCGAACCTTCTTGTGTATTGGGAAGTGTAACACAAAAAGGCAATCTCGATTGTGTGGCTTTATTACACGTATTTCTCAGGTTGCTCGCGCGTATCTCACAAAGGGAACAAGGTAATTTATTGTAAAGTAGGTTTCATCCTATTTGATGCTTTTGTAAGAGTTGTTTGCTCGAATTGATTCTCAATTGTGAGTGGCACATACAAATTGCAAACAAATAATCAAGTTGTAATTCCTGATGTTAAAGACAGGGAAGCTATTGTCTGGAAAGATGCTTCACTTTATTAATTTTATATATAAACAACAGTATACAAAACAATAATTAAACTTTTATATAATTTATGTCATTCGCAAATGTTAGCGGCGAACCCGTTACGTCGCCAAACTTTGATTTACCTAGGCAATTCCAGCATTGGCGGACCTCTTCAGGCAACGTTCGAGGTTATCTCGTGTACACCACTCTTGCGCCGTACGGTACAGGAGCGACGTAAAGATACTGATGGGTGCACAATAAAAAATTCGACGGTAAAGTAAAAGCAACATTTCTTCCACGGAAGGAAGCTCTTTAAATTCTCAATTGTGCGCTAACGTGAGCAATATTTCCTTTTCTGCTGTTGGAAGGCGCTATTATGACCTTTTTCTCTGCCCGTCCGCTCATACGAGGCCTTAACTACTCCTACAGTTTTCAAGATATTTAGTTCGTACTTTTTGGATTCGGTAGCTTATAGTTTTGGCACCTCAACAAAGAAAAATCTTGACGATTAATCTGCGCATGCGCAGACTGCGCAATATCGACTTTCTTATTTATAACGATATTTTTTGAAATTTTAACCACAAATCCTTCTAGTAAAAAAAATGTAGGTATTATTCTTGGAGATATTTTGCTGAAATTTTAACCTAAGATTCTTCTAGTAAAAGCAAACATATCGCATATTTTAAACAGCAGGTGTACGCATGCGCAGACATGCTAAGTTTCAGTAAAGTATCGAGCTTCAACATTCACTTTTCGAGATTCAAGATTCAGCTACTTAATCATATTTCGCCGACGTCGAGCGCAAATTTTCTTTATTTTGGGTTTCACATGTTATTTAATAATAATAATAATAATAATAATAATAATGTTTATTTGTCCAACCGGCTTTATACAGAAAAAACATGGGATACGTCAAGTAAAATACAGTTACAGTAGGCTCACAAACACTACAAGCATAACATTACATTTAAAATAATCTTTTTCAGCAAGTATCACAGACTAATATATTAATATATATAACACACAATATAACAATAACATTACCTATAATACAAACTCCATGTACTCTTGGATTGAATAAAATGCGTTTTTTATTAAAAACTGTCTGACGGCATTTTTAAATCTTTTGATTTGTTTTAAAGCCTTTACCTCTGGATCTAATTTATTATAGAGTACTGCCCCCATATAAAAGGGGTTGATTTATAGAATTCTAGACTATGACGTTTATACTGCAGTTTAGCGCCATGTCTCGTGGTATAATTGTGAGTTTCATTGAGCTTAGGAAATTTCTCAATGTTTTGTTTTACAAAGCATAATGTGGTAAGTATGTAGATACATGGCAACGTCAATATATTATTACACAAAAACAACTTTCTACATGATTCGCGGTAGTCAGCTTTGAACATATTTCGAATCGCCCGTTTCTGTAGTATAAAGATTCGTTTTGAGGCAACGCTGTTTCCCCAACATATGATACCGTACCTGATGATGGATTCAAAGCAGGCATAATAATAGCTTTTTGTGATGCTAATAGGCACGAGACAACTCAACCTCTTAAGTGCAAAACACACACCAGCGCACTTTTTATGAATATAACTTACATGATCTTCAAAAGATAATGAAACATCTAAGTATAAGCCTAGAGATTTAATACTCGAAACTTGT